CGTGCCGTTCCACGCGAGCCACAGCGTGTAGCGCCAGGCGGGCGTGCGCAGCGAGTAGCCCATGAAGTCGAACTTCTCCCGGGCGACGCCGTTGCACTCGGACCGCGTCGCGTTGAGCGACGGCGCGTCGCAGGCCGGGTACTGGTGGTAGGCGATGGACTTGAGGAGCGCGTCCGGGCGTTCGAAGACCGCGGAGACGTCGTCGCCGTCGACGCCCGGCGGCGCCGGGAGGCCCGCGAGCGCCGCGAGCGTCGGAAAGACGTCGACGAGCTCCGCGAAGGATCGCGTCTTCCGGCCGCGCGACGCGGGGGAGAACCGCGACGCGAAGGGCGTCTTGACGACGAGGGGCACGCGCACCGCGAGGTCGAAGTTCGACTTCTTCTCCCACCTACGCGCCCGCGAGTTCGACGGCGCCCGCGTTTCGTACGCCGGCTCGCGCTCGCCGTGCTCGCCGAGGTGGTAGCCGTGGTCGCTGTGGAAGACGACGATCGACTCGTCGTATTTGCCGCCGTCCCGCAGCGCGGCGACGATGGCCCCGACGTGCTCGTCGACGTAGGACACCGCCGCGTAGTACCTGAAAGGAGGCGCTCGCGGAGGTTCCGCCGCTTCGCCGCGCCGGAAATCGTACGCGCGCCGCTGGTCCCGCGCGACCCAGTCCGGCACGGCCGTCTCCGGCCCGTAGGCGAAGGACGTGCCGTTGGCCAGGCGCACGTCGAGGCAGTTGGACCAGGCGATGCGCGGCGCGCCCGCCGGCAGGACTTGGTGCGCCGCGACCGCGATGTCCCCCTCGTCGTAGAGGTCGTACATGCGCTGCGGCGCGGCCCAGGGCGCGTGCGGGTCGCGGAAGCCGCTCATGAGGAAGAAGGGCTCGTGCGCCGCGGCGACGTCGAGCGCCGCCAGCGTCGCGTTCAACAGACGCGCGTCGTAGATGGCGGAATCGGGCTCCGCGCAGTGGCCGCCGCCCTCGCCGCCCGACGGTTTCGGGCACGCGTTCGCCTCGTAGGGGTAGTAGGGCGACAACGTCGTGTTCCAGTAGGCGTCGGCGTTCCACGCGCCCGCGTCCTCGTGGAAGGTCTTGCCGAGGCCGAGCGCGGCGTAGCCGTGGTCCCGGAACCAGCCCGCCACGGAGCGCGACCGCGTCGGGTTCGCGTCGATGAAGTTCCACACGCGGTGCGTGTCCGGCCGCAGGCCCGTCATGAAGCTCTGGCGCGAGGGGCTGCAGACGCTCATCTGGCAGAAGGCGTGCGCGAAGGTGAGGCCGTCGGCCGCGAGGGCGTCGATGTGGGGCGTCACCACGGGCAGGCCGTAGGCGCCGAGGTCCGCGCGCAGGTCGTCGGAGAGCACGTAGACGACGTTCGGCGGCGCCGTGCTGGACGCCGCGCGCAGCAGGAGGGCGGCGAGGGGCAGCCCGCGAACATTGGCTCGATTGGGGCCCATGCTCTCGACGGCACCTTCAGCGTGTTGCCGTCAATCTTGGCCGCGGAGGCAGGGCCTCTCGCTCGACGAGCGTGAAAATTCGCGCTCGCGCCGTCGCTCGACGCCTCGCGCCGCGCGAATCGCGACGCCTTGAACAACCTCGCTTCTCGACGCACGCCCTGCGTCAAAAGCCCCGGCCACGCCTACCAAATCCGACTCCCGCGCCTCCAAAAGGATCATGGATACGCTCCGGGGCTCGTCGTTCCGCGCCTACGACAAGTCGCCGACGACGGACGAGATCTGGCCGTCGAACGTCGCCGACGAGGCCGAGGACTACGGCCCGGAGCGCGCGACGAACGCGCCGAGTTTCTTCTACTCGCGGCGCGTGACGCTGTCGGTCGCCGCGGGCGTCCTAACGCTCGGCGTCGCGACGTCGTTCGCGTTCGGCGTGGGCGTCATGGGCTGGTCCTACCTCCAGAGCGTCTACTTCTTCGCCATCACCGTGTCGACCATCGGCTTCGGCGCCTGCGGCGTCCGGGAGAAGGACGAGCAGATCTACCTCCTGTTCTACATGTGGCTCTGCGTGGTCCTGTTCGGCGTGGGCCTCGCGCTGATCATCCAGGCGGCCCACGGCTCCGCCGAGAATCTGCTGGCGACGAAGTCCGCGGGGGCGCAGGACGACGACGACGACGCGAGGCGGCTGCTGGGCGCGCGGCCGCGGCCGCGGGCGTCGCGGGCGCTGCGGACCGCGCGGTGGCGCATCCAGGTGCTCTCCTACAAGCTCGTCCTCATCCTCGCCGAGGGCCTGCTCATCTTCCTGCTGGCGACGTGGTTCATGGCCTGGTGCGAGGGCTGGAGCCTTCTCACCTCCGCGATCTTCGCGACGGAGGCGCTGACGTCCATCGGCTTCGGCGACTCCCTGCCCGCGACGCGGGCGGGCAAGGTCTTCACGATCTTCTACGCGCTCTTCGGGACCTTCGTCTTCGCGCGGTTCCTCGCCTTCGCCGTCTGGTACCCGAAGCACTGGCGCGACTACAAGAACCTCCGCGCGGCGACGCGCGCGGCGACGCAGGGCCTCGCGAGCGACGGCCTGGCCCAGCGCCGCCGACGGCGGCGGACCGCGACCGGCGGCGCCAGTGGACGCGCCACGTCTTCGAGCTGCGGCGCGACACGGGCGCCGCGGGCGACGGGCCGATATCGCGCGAGGACTTCGCGCTCCACCTGCTCCTGTCCCTGGGCAAGATCGACGTCGAGGACGTCCTCGACGCCCACGACGTCTTCTCCCTCCTCGCCGCGGGCGACGACAGGCTGTCCCTCGAGACGGCGCTCGACGCCGCGGGCCACGACGCGCCGGACCGCGCGGCCTACGGGCCGCCGGTGACGCCGGGCGGCGACGACGACGACGAGGTCGAGGAGACGAAGTCGCCCTTCGCGAGCTGGTAAGGGGGGGGGCTTGCCTGCGGACGCGGTCGCCAGGGCAGGCGATGCCGACCTTGCCTTCCGAATCTCGTACCGGCGTGCAATCCTGTTGTGCGCCCGTCCAAGCACTCAGATCGTCAAGGCTTGAACTAGTATGGCCCGCGCCCTCGTCATTGCTGCCGCCCTCGCCGCGCCCGCCCTGGGCTTCGCGCCCGCGCCGTCGGCCCTGCCGCGGGCGTCGTGCCGCAGCGCGCCGGCCCTGTCCATGCGCCTCGGCGGCGGCAGCGGCTTCGGCTTCCGCAAGGGCGGCGTCGTCCGGGGCAAGTCCTGGACGAAGGGCATCGTCCCCCGCGTCCCCGGCGGCGGCAACATCGGCGGCGCGTCCGGCGGCGGCGGCAACGGCGTGGCGCGCAACGCCGCCGAGGGCGCCGCGGAGGAGCCCGAGCCCAAGGCCGAGGAGGCGCTCGGCGTCTGGGCCGCGTACGAGGCGGCGCTCGAGAAGGACCCGCTGCTCATCAAGGGCCTCACGTCCATGATCGGCTTCTTCCTCGGCGACGTCCTCGCCCAGTGCTTCATCGAGAAGTCCGACAAGTACGACATCTGGCGCACGATCCGCTTCTCGTCGTTCGGTTTGCTCGTGCACGGCACGACGTCGCACTGGTTCTACGGCAAGCTCGACGGCAAGATCCCCGGCACGGGCGCCGGCGCCGTCGCGTCCAAGGTCGGCATCGACCAGGTCCTCTGGAACCCCATCTTCGGAATCATGTTTTTCGGATACATGGGCATCTTCGAGGGCAGCGGCGTCGGCGGCACGATCACGAAGATCAAGAACGACCTCCTCACGCAGGTCACGGGCTCCTGGACCGTCTGGCCCATCGCCCACGCCATCAACTTCAAGTTCATCCCGAACTCGCAGCGCGTGCTCTACATCAACACGATCCAGATCTTCTACAACTGCTTCCTCTCCATCATCGGCTCCCGCACGCCCGAGACGGCCTAGGGCGACCACCCGGCACGAGCCTCGTCCCGGAGCGCCGCGCCCGCGGGGACCGCCGCGCGCGATATCGCGCGCGCATCGCGGCCGAGCCGCGCGCGCGCCCAGGAGGCCCAAGCCCGAGCCGCCCGGCGTAAGAAACCCCCCCCGTCTAAAAGCCACGAAGTCCGCGGCGCGGGCCTTCGACGCGCCGTTTGGACCCGCCGCTGGACGCGTAAATTAACTGCACTATAGGTGCAACTTGCACAGGCATCGAATGAATCGATGGCCCATCCGGGAACCCGAAGCCGTGAGGCCATGATCCAGGCGCCGCTCGTGGACGACGCGGCGACGCGCCGCCGGAGCAGCGGTGCGCGCTACGAGTCGCCGCTCCCCCTCGCGGGCCTCGTGGCGTTGACGTTCTTCAGCGTCACCGGCGGCCCTTTTGGCCAGGAGCTCCTCGTCAAGGCCGGCGGCCCGCTCGTCGCGCTGGGCTCCTTCGCGCTCATGACGCTCCTCTGGAGCGTGCCCGAGGCGCTCATGACGGCGGAGCTGTCCTCCGCCTTCCCGGAGGCCGCGGGCTTCGCGGCGTGGAGCAACGCGGCGTACGGCCCGCTCGTGGCCTGGGTCGACGCCTGGTGCTCCTGGGTCTCGGGCGTCGTCGACAACGCCGTTTATCCCGTCTTGGTGCTGGAGTACGCGTCCCGGGCGACGGACGCGTTCGACGACCCGCTGCCGCGCGCGCTCTTTGTCGTGGGGTTCGTCGCGGGGTTGACGTACCTCTGCCACCGGGGCCTGGACCTGACGGGCCGCTCGGCCGTCGCGCTGACGGCCTTCGTGCTGGCGCCCTTCGGCGTGCTCGTCGTCGTCGCGATCCCGACGCTGCGGCCGGCGCGGTGGCTCGCGCGGCCCGCGGCCTGGCGCGACGTCCGCTTGCGGTCGCTCGTGAACAACCTGTTCTGGAACGTCAACTACTACGACTCGGCGTCGGCCTGGGCCGGCGACACGCGCCGCGAGACCTGGGGCGTGGCCATGGCGTCGTCCGTCGCGCTCTGCGCCGCGTCGTCGCTGCTGCCCATGCTCGCGGCGACGGGGGGGTCGTCGCTGGACCGGCGCGACTACCGCAACGGGTCCTACGTGACGATCGCGACGGACCTCGCGGGCCCCTGGCTCGGCCTGTGGATCGTGCTCTCGGCGGCCGCGGCGAACGTGGGCATGTTCGTCTCCGAGATGTCGTCGGACGCGTACCAGCTCACGGGCATGGCCGAGCGCGGGCTGCTGCCCGCGGCGCTCGCGAAAAAGAGCGATACCGCGGGCACGCCGACGCTGGCGATCCTGCTCAGCGCCGGGGGCGTCCTCGCGCTGTCGCGCCTGTCCTTCGAGGCCATCGTCGCGACGGAGAATTTGTTGTACGTCGTGTCCATGGTCATCGAGCTCTCGGCGTTCTACCGGCTGCGGAAGACGCGCAAGGACCTCGACCGGCGCTACGTGGCGCCGCTGAGCGACGGCGCGCTCCTCGCGACGCTCGCGCCCGCGGTGCTGTGCCTGGCCCTCGTCGCGGCGGTGCAGCCCCTCGAGGTCTGGCTCCTGTCCGCGGGGCTGCTCGTCGCCGGCCTCGCGCTCTACGGCGCCATCGGCGCGACGCGGCGGGGGAACCGGCTCTGCGCCTACCACGTGCTCCACGCGGACTGGGCCGCGCCGCCGGGCGGCCTCGCCGCGCGGCTCGGCTGGGCGGACCGCCTCGACGACGACCCGGCCGCGCTGCCGGAGTACGACGCGGCGCCGCCCGAGCTCTCCACGGGCGACGAGGCCGCGTCGCCCCTGACGTCGTAACGGTGCCCCTTTTGTACATACATGCCGCTTTAATAGGCGCACCCGTTGCGCGCGTCGTAGGCGCGGACGTCCGAGCCGACGCCGTGGTGGACCCAGAAGACGCCGCAGGGGTCCGCGGCCCGCTTCGCGGCGAGGAGCCGGTCGTAGTGGGGCCCGAAGAAGCGTGTCCGCCAGTCCGCGAAGACGTCGTCGAGTGCGTCGGGCGCGGACCACTCGTTGAAGTAGGACGTCGACCCGAACGCGTTGAGCTCGCGGGAGAACTGCGCGCCGAAGGCGGTGTTCGGCGCGTCGTCGGCCGCGTCGAACCAGTGGACGTTGGGCCCGAGCTCGATGACGGACTCGCGGAAGCCCGGGCTCACGGCCGTCGGCGGCTGCTCGGCGACGGCGCCGCCGAGGACCGTGTTGTACCAGACGTTGTAGTCCGCCGCCATCGCCGCGGCGTCCGTCCGCTTGATCTCGCCGACGACGAAGTCCGTGAGCCGCTCGCCGCCGCCGTCGTTTAAATCCGCCGCCGAGGCGAAGATGTTGCCGATGGCCTGGCGGACGCCCTCGCCGTTGCGGATGGAGCCGAGGTGCTCCTCGAACGCGAGGAGCGACGGGAGGCGCGTGACGTTCAGGAGATCCGACGGGAAGAGGTCGAGCATGTCCCGCATGGGCGTGCCCGCCGCGAGCGGGTCCGCGTCGTCGCCGCTGTAGATGAAGAGCGGCTGGAAGACGCCGCCGACGGTGCCGTCGGGCCGGACGTAGCGGCTCAGGCTCGGCCAGCCCGACCAGCCCCGGTCGAGCGCGCGCCACCAGGACGCGTTGTGGATCGCCCCCGTGAGCGCGCGGCGGACCTCGGCCTCCTTCTCTTTGAAGCCCACGACGCCCGTCACCTGGACGACGTCCCGGGGCGCGTCGTGCAGCCGGAGGAGCCACTCCGTGACGACGCCGAACGTGCCGCCGCCGCCGCCCCGGAGCGCCCAGAACAGCTCCCCGTCGAGGCCCTCCGACGCCGCGCTCAGGGACCGAATTGCGCCGTCGGCCGTGACGAGCGTGACACCGAGGACCTGGTCGCAGCCGAGGCCCCGCGCGCGGCTCAGCGCGCCGTGGCCGCCGCCCATGAGGAAGCCGGACACGCCGACGGACGAGTCGTAGCCGGACACGGGCACGAGGCCGTGGGGCGCCGCGGCCTCGAAGACCTCGAGCCAGCGCGTCGCGGGGCCCACGCGCGCCGTTTTATGCGCCGGGTCGACGTCGACCCAGCGCATCGCGGACAGGTCGAGCGTGAGCGCGTCGTCGCCCGTCGACTTGCCGTCGTAGTCGTGGCCCGTGGAGAAGACCGTGACGCGCACCCGGTTGGCCCGGGCGAAGGCGAGCGCGGCGACGACGTCGTCGACGCCGGCCACGGGCGCGACGGCGAGCGGCGTGCCCTGGCGGGCCGGGTTCCGCGCGACGCACGTGTCCGCAAAGGCCGCGTCGGTCCGCGCGACCATGCCCGCGAGCGCGCCGCCGAGCGCCGTCGCGTAGCCCAGCGGCGCCTCGCCGAGCGGGTCCGCGGCGACGTAGGGCGCGACGGCCAGGGCGGGCGCCTCCCGCCGCTTCACGGTCGCGACGAAGGCGCCGAGCAGCAGGGCGGCGCCGGCCATCGTCGCGACGACGACGCGAGGCAGCCGCGGCGACCGCGGCGCGCGCGCCAGGGGCACGGCGCCGTACATCGTCGACGCGGGCTGCCGACGCGCGAGGAAACTTGGTGAAGGAAAGCGCAAGGCTGTCGTGCAAAGATTGAGCTGGTGGACCAAATTGGAGCTGGTGGACCAGGTCGAGGTGGTCGAGGTGCGCACAGCAATCGTGGCGGGCTGCCCGAGCCTTCCCTGTCGAACTTGGTGAAGGAAAACGCGTTATCGCGTCATGGCATCATGAGTGCATGATGGTGGCATGATGGCGCTACGAGGCCGGCCTCGGGAAGATTCGGCTCTACGCCGTCTTGGTCCGCGCCAGGCCGTGCGCGGCGCGCAACCGAGCGACCCTTCAGCGTATATCTCTCTTGAGGGCTTCATGGACGACCAGGCGCGGAACACGCTAAATTTCGTTCAAAGCCTCGGCGCGCGCGGCGCGCAATCACGCATGAGCCGGCTTGACGATTTCGAGTTTGATGACCACGGGACCATCGATAACGCCTCGCCCGCGCGGCGGCGCAAGGAGAAGCAGCAGGAGAAGCGGCGGGGCTCCGGGAAGCGGTGCGGCCCGACCGGGGGCTGTGTGCGGGATGACGATTCCGGGTCCGACGGCGACTGGAACCCAACGATGGACAGCCGCACGACGCGGGGCGACCACCGCGCCAAGAAGTCGACGGAGATGGTGGCCTTGAAGCCGACCACGGCGAAGCCCAAGGCGCCGCCGCAGCGCACGAGCCGCCCCCGGGGCTACGACGGCACGAAGCCGCGGCCGAAGAAGACGCCGGAGCCGCGGCGCGCGATCCCGCCGACGCGGCGCCAGCCGAGCCGCGTGAAGCAGTCCGGCGGCGCGCCGCAGTGCAAGCTCGACTGCAAGCGCGTCTATTTCGGCACGCAGCTCCACTTCGGCGCGGGCATCGTCGTCACGGAACAGGCCATCAACCTCGAGTGGTTTAGCGAGTCTACGGGCAACTACCGCGTGGTGGCCATCCAGGCGATCGACATCGAATCGATTGTCTACAAGACCCAGGACGACGCCGACGCCGGCCCCATCGACCTCGCTGGCGACGACGCGCCGGCGGATCTGAACGACGAAGGCCCCGTCGTCAAGTTCCTCGCGCTGACCCTGGACAAGAAGGCCTGGGTCGGCAACAGCCTGAGCCGCGAGCGCTTCGACCCGAGCCAGAACCCGGGCCCTCACTGCCACGTCGTCCTCGACCTCGGCGGCTCGGCTGCGAGCGTCTTCACCGACGAAGTCCTCGTCTTCCTCTTGGACACTTACTCGCACGCGGAGATCAAACCGATCAGCGGCGCGGACGCCGCGGCCCCCTACCTGCTCGGCGTCACGGACGCCAACTCCATGGAGAAGCGCCGGCGCGCGAAGCAGGACGAGGCGGAGCCCGCCGCGAAGCGCCGCCGCCAGCCGCCGCCCGCCGACGCCTCCGACGACGACGATTGCGTCGTCGTGGGCTCGCGGTCCGCGGAGGACCGCGACGAGGAGCTCCGCCGCGCCGCGATCTCCGTCGACGACTCGGACGCCGAGGACGCGACGGTGCCGGAGCCCGCGCGCACGCTCGAGTCTCACCTCAAGGAGCTGCGCGACGGCCTCGGCCCTAGCGGCGGCTTCGACGTTTCCCTCGCTTTGAAGTGGTGCGAGGAGAACGGCGCGGACGAGCTCTCCGAGATCGCCGAGGTGGACATGGTCGACGACTTCGTCGCGAGCCTCGCGCTCAAGCCCGTCAAGGCCAAGAAACTGAAGGAGAAGCTCCGCGCGTTGTAAGCACCCTTACGATCCGCCCGACTCGAAGGCGCGTCGCCGGTCGGCGAGGGACGTGAAGACGCTCTTGACGGCCGGCGACGGGTCCTCCGAGTCGGCGGCGGGCGTCCGCGGCTTGGACGCGCGGCGCGCGAGCGGCGGCGGCGGCGGCGGCGGGGGCGGCGGCGGCTTCGAGGCGCGCCGGGGCGGCGGCGGCGGCGGCGGCGCCTTCCAGACGACGGGCGCGCGCTCGACGACGACGTCCGACGACCGCCGGACGGCCTCGACGCACGGCTCGGGGACCGGCGCGAGCGCGAGCACCGACGGCCGCCTGACCGCCTCGGGCGCCGGCTCCACGGCGACGACGGGCGCCGGCAGGACGACCGGCGGCGACGGCGCGGCGACCGGCGGCTCGGCGACCGGCGGCGACGGCGCGGCGGCCGGCGGCTCGGCGACCGGCGTGACGACGACCGGCGGCGGCTCGGGCTTCGGCGCGGGCTCCGGCGTCGTCGCGGACGCGAGGGACGAGCCGCGCGTCTCGCCGCGGCCCTCGCGCGCCGGGAACTTGCCGACCGAGCGGCGGCGCACGCGGGGCGTCGCCGCCTCGTCTTCCGCGTCGAGCGGCACGAGCTTGGCCTGGTGCTTCCAGGACGCCCGCCGGTTCGTCGGCGCCGGCTCGGCGTCGCGCGGCGGCGGCGGCGGCGGCGCGCTTGGGGGCCGCTCGGGCGCCTCCGGCGGCGGCGGCGGCAACTCGCGCGCCTCCTCCGGCGACGCCCGCGCCGCCTCCGGCTCCGGCGGCGCCCGCGCCGCCTCCGGCTCCGGCGACTCCCGCGCCGCCTCCGGCTCCGGCGACGCCCGCGCCTCCTCCGGTTCCGGCGACGCCCGCGCCGCCTCCGCCGGCGGCGGCTCCCGCGCCGCCTCCGGCTCGCGCGCGGGCGGCGGCGGCGGCGCGCGCGCGGGGAGCGGCGGCGGCGGCGGGCTCCGGTCGCGGCGCGGCGGCGCGGGCGGCGGCGGCCGCGGCGGCGGGCGCGTCGGCGCCTCCCCCACGTCGTCGTCGGAGTCGTCGCTGCTCGCGTCGTCGCCGTCGTCGTCGAGGCCCGGCGGCGGCCGCGGCGGCGGCGCCGACGGCGGCGGGTACGACGCGGCGTTGCGCGGCGGCAGCGGCGGCGGCGGCCCGCCCTTGCCCGGCATGGAGATGCGCCGCGCGGGCGCCGGCGGCGGCGCCGGGGCCGCCGCCGGCTTCGGCGGCGAGCCCGCGCCGCCCGGGTGGCGCCGCGAGAAGCACGCGTCGCAGGACCGGTGCTCCCGCGTCGCGTGGAGGTGGGGCAGGACGACGCGCCGCGGCGTGCAGGCGCGGCAGAAGCAGGCGCCGCAGTCGCGGCAGTGGTGGCGCCGGCGCAGCACGCTAAAGGGCTCGGAGCAGGCCTCGCACTTGGACACCGCGCGGTCGGGCGTCCAGAGCGGCGCGGCGCGCTCGCGGCGCTCGACGGCCCCGAGCGCGTCCGCGCGCCGGGCGACGGCGAGGGGCCGCAGCCGGTCGATGGCGTCGCGCCAGTCGCGGGCCTCGGCGACCGACGGCGCCTCGACGACGAAGGACCTGCAACGGGGTGATTCGACGTCGCTTCGACGCGAGCGTTCCGCGCGCGCGCGTTCCAGAAAAAGCATCCACGCTTCGAGGGCGCTCCGAGAGATGATCGCTCGTCCAAAAATCAGCCGAAACGAGTGGAGAGCTCGGAGCCTTTTGACGTTGGGCATGTCGCGCCCTGTTCCCGCGCCGACGGAGGACTTTTGCGGCGAGAGGATCGTGAAGCACCGCGACGCGTCGCGCGGGACGACGTCGCTGCTCTTGAGCAGGTCCGCGGCACGCTTGAGGCTGCGCTGCGTCAGCGTCGCGAAGGCCGTGTCCTCGACGGCGACGGAGTGGAGCGGGAGGGCCCGGTTGAGCTGGTACGCGTAGCCTTCGCCGCCGGCGCCGCCGCGCTGCGCGACGGCCGCCGCGTTCGCGTAGCGCTGCGCGTACAACAGGCAGTCGCTCAACAGCCAGAACGTGAAGTGCTTGGGCCCCTTGCGGCAGAGCTTCTTGAGCTCCAGCGGGCCCCGCACCAGCCGCCTCCCGGGCCAGTCGAGCACGTTGAGCTCGCCCTTGGGGTCAAAGATGGACCGCTGGAGCGCCGCGAGGGTCGCGTGGTGCGCGTCCTCGGCGAGGGCGTTGTTGTTGTGGCCCGCGGCCTCGGACACGAGCGCCAGCGCCGCGTCCAGGTCCGCGCGGTCGCCGTGCGACGCCGCCGTCCGCTTCGCGAGCTCCTCGAGGAGCAGGCGGTACCGCGGCACGCGCTGCACGGGCGCCACGAGGAAGCTCGCCAGATCCAGCGACCGGCAGCGCGGGTCCGACGCCGCCGAAACCAGGAAGGCGCAGACGTCGCGGTCGCCCGACGGGTCGCCGCCGCGGGCCTTCCGGTCGTCGCTCCACGCCTCGTAGAGCTCGAGGTAGCGGCTGAACATCTTCAGGAAGGGCGCGAAGCGCCGGAAGACGCGGCCCACGTTGCCGTTCCCCGCGACCTCGGCCTCGAGCTCGCCGAGGAGCGCGCTGTTGAAGGGCTCGAGGAGCGCCAGCTCCTTGAGCAGGCGCCCCAGGGGCCCGTCGACGTCCTCGCACCGCGACCCGACGGCGGCCTCGAGCGGCGCGTGGAAGACGGCGATGCACGTCCGCAGCGACTCCACGAAGGTCCGCTCCGTCGCGACGATCTCCTCGAGCACGCGGGACCGCACGTCCATGGCGGCGGCCATGGCCGGCGGGGCTGCTGCCGAAGCTGAACCGCTCGTCTGCCACAGCGGCTTCGCGAGCACCGACGCGCAGCCAGCGAACGCGCAAACCCACCTAGCCCACATGGCGGCGCTCCAGGGCCTCGACATGTCCCTCGACGACGCCATCGCGGCGCGCTCGCCCCGCGGCGGCGGCGGCGGCGGCGGCATTCGGGTCGCCCGGCGCGTCTTCGTGGGCAACCTGTCCTGGCAGACGTCGTGGCAGGACCTCAAGGACCACTTCCGCCAGTGCGGCACCGTCGTCCACGCGTCGGTCATGGAGGAGCGGCCCGGCCGGTCCAAGGGCTGCGGCATCGTCGAATTCGAGAGCGCGGACGAAGCGGCGCTCGCGATCGAGACGCTGCACGACGTCGAGCTCGACGGGCGGCCCGTGCAGGTGCGCGAGGACCGCGAGGACCGGGACCTGGCGCCGGCCAAGGCCCCGGGCGGCAAGCGGCCGGCGGTGCAGGCGCCCGCGTGGGGCGAGCCGCGCGGCGGCGGCGGCGGCGGCGAGATCGAGGTCGGGCGCCGCGTCTACGTCGGCAACCTGTCCTGGGGCACGTCCTGGCAGGACCTCAAGGACCACTTCCGCCCCTGCGGGTCCGTCGTCCACGCGAAGATCATGGAGGAGCCCGGCGGCCGCTCGAAGGGCTGCGGCATCGTCGAGTTCGAGAGCCCCGAGGAGGCCGTCGCGGCCATCGAGCAGCTCAACGACTCGGACCTCGACGGCCGGCCCATCCAGGTCCGCGAGGACCGCGAGGACAAGGACCTGGCCAAGGGCCGCCGCGCGCCGCGGTCGCCCGCGAAGAACCCGCCGTCGAAGAAGCAGCGCAAGGCGGCCCAGGACGCGGACGGCGACGTCATCCGCGTCGCGCGCCGCGTCTACGTCGGCAACCTGGCCTGGGGCACGTCCTGGCAGGACCTCAAGGACCACTTCCGCCAGTGCGGGTCCGTCGTCCACGCCAAGGTCATGGAGGAGCGGCCGGGCCGCTCCAAGGGCTGGGGCATCGTCGAGTTCGAGGCGCCGGAGGAGGCCGTCGCCGCCATCGAGCAGCTCAACGACTCGGACCTCGACGGCCGCCCCATCCAGGTCCGCGAGGACCGCGAGGACCGCGACCTCCGGTAGGGCGGACGGCCGCGGAGGCGACGGCGCCCAAGACCTGCCCCGCTTCGAGCGACCTGCTTACGTCCTACGGCTTGTTGAACGGGTCGTCGCTGCCGGCGCCGGCGACGGCGCCGGGGGCGGGGTGCGCCTGGAGCTCCGGGTTCTCCGAGTAGCCCTTGGGCAGCGGGAACGCGTCGACGGACTCGCCGAAACCTGCGGGTGGGTGTCGCCGCGCTAAGTTGTCCGCGGCGCGCGTGGGGAGCCGCCGCGCGCGCGGCACACGGCGCGGGCCCTCTTCTTCGCCGCGGCGAAAAACCTCGGTCCCCCGATGGCGCGGCGGGAGCGGTCAAGCTATCGCCGAGCGGTCGATCCGCGCGCGCGCGCGCTCGCCGATGCCCGGTCATGTGTATGCGTGCGCCGGTGTTTCGCGGACGACGACGTTGGCCGGGCTCGTCTCCGAGGCCGTGACGCTGCTAATCGCCTTGATGACCGCCTCGGCGACCTCCTTGCGGACGGCGGCGTTGCGGCAGGCTTTCGGAAGCCACCTAATTTTTGCACGCTTGATGTCGCACGCCCAGCAGCGACACTAACTACGCACGTGATCTGGACGAAGGGCATTATGCAGGAGAGCGCTGGGCAGGGAGCACGTACGAGCCTGCGTCAATGATGGTTCACCTTTAGCATCGTGCACTATGTGCAATTATCATGCACAACCGAAACGCCCGAAGAGCTTGAGCAGCTCTCGACGTCGTGAGCAACAGCTCCGGCCCCGGCGTGCGCCGCCGGACGCCATGGCGCTGCGCGCGTCCCAGGCCGGCGGGCTGCCCGACCTGCTGGGCGAGTCGCTCGGCGGCGCGCCGCCGCCGCGCATGAGCCAGCGGCCGAGCGGCCTCCGGAGCAGCGTCGTCGTGGACCCGAGCGGCCGCTTCCCGAGCGTGCGGCGGAGCCGGTTGAAGAAGAAGAAGGACGCGAGCGCGAAGCCCTGGACCGTGTTCATGGACCCGCCGGCCGACGCGCCCGCGCCGAGCCCGTCGAGGCCCGACGAGCCGGCGCTGCCCGCGCTGCGGTCGCCGCCGCGGCCGCCGAGCGGCGGCTCGGCCCGGTCGCGGCCGCCGCGGCCCGCGGGCGGCCGCCGCACGAAGCTCGCGCGCGCGCCGTCGGCGCGCCGGCTCGACCGCGCGCCGTCGCGCGCGAAGCTCCTCAAGCGCCAGGGCAGCCGCCTCGACGCGCGGCCGCCGTCGTCGGGCGAGCGGCGGCGCCTCGACGCCGAGCGGGCGACGGTCAGCAGCCGGGGGAAGGAGACGTCGAAGCGGCCCGGGAGCCGCGGCGCGCCGTCGCGGCCCGGGAGCCGCGGCGCCGCGCGCGGCGGCGACGGGCCCGAGGCGCCCGGTGACGACGAGGGCCTCCTCGCGGGCGCGCGCCTGCCGGAGATCCGCGCCCTGCCCCAGAACGTGCTCCAGCGCGCCGTCGCCCTCAGCCTCCACAAGAAGGCGGAGACGCGCGGCGCGACGACCTACGAGTCCCGGGCCCGCACTTTTTGCCGCCGCATGCGAAGCCACGTCGACCGCGAGGCGAACGCGAGTTGGCGGCCGCGGTCCGCGACGTCCACGTACCTCAAGACCTGCTTCCGGATGAACGTCCTGCCCGAGCCCGTCGTCGGCAAGCTCCTCGGCGCCAAGGACGACGAGCCCAAGTTCGAGCTCGCGCACATGTCCTTCGGCGACTCGGTCGCGCCGCGGCGTTTTTTCGGCGCGCGAACACGTGCGCGCGCGACGCCGCGCGCGTTTGTAGGTCGCGCTGTCGCTCCGCGACGCGCTGCCGTTGGTCGACCCGTTCAAGGTCGCGCTCGCGGACAACCGGCTCAGCGACCGCGGCGTCGCCGCCATCGTCGACGGTCTGCGGGGCTGCGGCCAGCTCGACGAGCTCGACCTGTCGAAGAACGTCGTCGCGGGCCGCGCGACGGCGGCGTTCGTCCGCGCGATCGCCGAGCCCGCGGTGCGCGCGACGCTCCGGACGCTGAGCCTCGAGAAGTGCCACCTGAGCGGCCGCGCCATGGCGTCGTTGGCCGAGGCCTTCATGGCCGGCGACGAGCCCGCGGCGCTCCACAAGCTCAACCTCGCGCGGAACGCCGTCGACGCGGACTGCGCCGTGTCGCTCGCGCGGCTCTTCCGCGACGCCCACGCCGCGCCCTACCTGCGCGAGGTCGTGCTCAACTGGACGAACCTGCGCACGACGGCCGGCAACACGATCTGCAAGGGCCTCGGCAAGTCGCGCGTGCACACGGCGGATTTGAGCTGGAACGCGTGGTACAGCGACCCGACGACGGGCGACGACGCCGCCGTCCAGGGCGTCGCCTGGATGCTCCGCCGGTCCGCCTCGCTGACGCACCTCGACCTGTCCCACGGCCGCATGGCGCCGGCCGACGTCGAGGTCGTCGCGAAGGCGCTCGCGCGGAACCGCGCGGTCATGGGCCTCCACATGCAGGGCAACGCCGGGTCCTGCGACGCCCACGGCTTCCTCGCGGCGCGGTCCGGGGGCCCGGCGACGACGGACGCGCTCTCCGAGGCCCACGTCTTCTCGCGGATCCTGCGCGCGGACTCGCGGCTGCCGGAGCGCGACCGGTCGTGGCGCGCGTGCTCCAACTGCTGGATCTGCGAGCGCTGGTCCGAGCACCGCTTCTGCTTCACGCCCGGCGCCTCCGACGCGAAGGCCAAGGTCACGGACGCCGAGGGCCGGAGCCGCGTGAGCCTCCGGGGGTCCTTCGACGGCTTCGCGCCGCACCCGATGGCGCGGATCCAGCGGACGCCCGGCGTGTCGGGCCCCGGCGACGAGTTCGAGCTCTGGCGCATGGTGCCGCCGGGGGAGGTGCTCTACTCCTTCGTCGTGTCGTCGCCCGAGGCGGCGAAGAGGCGCGCGCCGGACGCGCGCGCGTCGCGCGCGAGGCGGGCCTCGACGGCGTGCGCGGACGTCGAGTGCGTCGCCGAGGACCAGGCGACGGCGCCCCTGCGCGGCCGGGGCACGGCCGAGCTCCGGCAATGCCTCAGGGCCGCGGGCCTCGGCGACGCGGTCAACGCGGTGCGCCTCGAGCCGCGGCGCGACGACGTCGACGTGCAGATCGTGTCGCCGCGCGAGGTCCAGGCGCACGACAAGCTGCCCCCGAAGCGCAAGGTCACGCTCGCGCCCTGGTCCCCGGCGACGTCGTCCTTCGGGCAATATAAAGTGGACACGGCGTCGTCCATCAAGGCGGCCTTCGAGGTCGACTACGGCCTCACGAATCTGTCGAAGCTCCTCGGGTCGCCGAACGCGGCCGCCGAGGACCGCGCGAAGCTCATATTGAAGGAGTCCTACGAGTTCCTGAAGCTGGCCTTCAAGCACTACGCCATGGCGTCGACGGAGGTCTTCGCCGTGGGCTGGAACGCCTACACGGACTTTGTCATCTCCTGCAACCTGCCGGACCCGCAGCGGCTGTCGCGCGCGGACGTCGACATGGCCTTCTTCTCGTCGTCGACGATCGGCCCGCCGGGCCCGCGGAACCCGAAGAAGTCGCTCTGCCGCTTCCAGTTTTTGGACGCGTCCGTGCGCCTCGCCATGAAGCGCTACTACGCCTCCGGCGACGTCGAGGAGCCCGCGGACGCGATCCAGAAGCTGCTCACGAACATCGAGGCGATCCCGTCGATCGAGACGCTCAAGGACGTCGGCGACCTCCACGACCGCATCTGGCGGCGCGAGACCGACGACGTCGTCAAGAAGCACCTCGACCTCCTGAAGAAGGTCTACGACAAGTGGAGCGGCGCGAACAACCTGCCCGGCCAGCCCCGGTCCACGTCGGGGCGGGGAAAGGGCGCGACGTTCCCGACTTCAAAGGCGCCGATCTCGGCCGTTTTCCACTCGTTTCGGCTGACTTTTGGACGAGCGATCATCTCTCGGCACGGTCTCGACGCGTGGATGTTTTTTTGGAACGCGCGCGCGCGGAACATTCACGTTGAAGCGACGTTGCATCACTCTTTCCCTGGACAGGTCCATGTCGATCGGCGAGTGGAACGCGCTCGTCGACCGGTCGGACCCTGTGTGGAACTCAAATATGCAACCCGACTTCAATGTGCGCGTAATCGAACGGTTTGGACCCGACTCTTCGGCTGTGCTTCGAGAACTCGATGAGAGCAATCGATCCGTCCAAAAATCAGCCGAATCGACTTCGATGTGGCCGAGCTCGAGAATTTCAAAGTTTGGTCGGGACGTCCCAAACCAGTGGTTGATTTCCACACAGGTCGGACCTCATCGACACGGAGAAGGGCTACAGCGAGCGCGAGAGCAAGCAGGCCTACGGCCGCGCCATCATGTCCGTGGTCAACGAGATGGCGACGGACAAGCACCGGGGCGCGAACCTCGTCGAGCTCCGCGCGGAACGGTGAGCCGGGTTTACTCCCGCCCGCACTTCGGAACTCTCGAGCGCGGTCACATCGACGTCGACGCGGCCGATTGTTGGACGCATCGATCGCTCTCGTCGAGTGCTCGAAGCGCGGCCGAAGACCTCGCGTCGAAACGTTGCGCGCCCGTTGAAGTCGGGCGGAAGACGCGGGTTCCGCGCAGGTCGAGTTCGTCGAGGCGCTCCTCCGCGTCGCGGACGTCAAGCACCAGGCGTCCGACGGGAAGAAGACCATCGGGGAGGTGCTCGAGGACGTGATCGTGCGCCACGTGGCCCACGCCATCGGGCAGAAGAAGGCGAAGAAGCCCGTCGCGGAGGAGCAGGTCGCCGAGGCGTCGCGCGACCCCGACGGCGCCGCCGGCGCCGGCGACGACGACGGCGACGCGGCGCGCGACACGGTCCTGGGCAAGGCCATCGCGGGCTTCTCCAGCGCGCGCCTCCGCGCGACGGCGCGGAAGCTCCGGGGCTCGCCGAAGCACGGCGGCTCGCCGAAGCACGGCGCGCCGCCGAGGGCGCCGGAGCCCGACGGCGCGCCCGCGGCGCCCGCGCGGGCCGCGCCCGAGCCCGACGGCGCCGAGGGGGACGACGACGACGCGCCCGCCACCGCGCGGACCCCCGCGCCGGCGCCCGACGCCGTCGCGCCGACGGCCGGCGACGGGCCCGCGCCGCCGTCGCCGCCGCGCGTCGGCGACCGGCCCGCGGCCGACGAGCCGTCGCCGAAGCGGCGGCCGCCGCCGCCCAAGGGCCCGCCGACGAAGGCCCAGCAGGCGACGGAGAACCGCCTCGCCGAGGCCGTCAAGAAGTTCGCCATGTTCGGCATCGAGGCCGAGCGCTCCGAGATCGCCGCGAAGATGGAGGAGCTCGGCCGCCAGCACGTCAGCCACCTCTCGGAGCAGTACCCGGACTTCGACATGCACTACGCCGCGCTCGACTATTACTAAGGCGGGGTATGCGGGTTCCCGGGGCTCGTCGGCGGTCTCGCGTGCACGCCAGTCAAAACGGGCTGCCAAACAGAACGGCGCCGGTGGCGGCGCCGGTGGCGGCGCCGCGCGCGAGCCCGACGGACGTCGCGGTCGTGTGTGGTGTGGTCTTAGGGGTGTGGGCGGGGTGAGGGGGGGGAGGCGACCGGCGAGTGAGCTTGAAGTCGTCGAGGGAGGCGTGCGCCCTAGTCATCAGCGTGCGCATCATCGACTCCCGGGGCGTAGCGCCCCATCCCCGTCGTCGGCCGCGTCCAGGGCCTCCGCGTCGTAGTAGGGCCATCGTTCCGACCCGTGGGCCTCGGGGTCAAGTGTTTAAGGCGGGGGCCGGGCATCGTCGAGGAAGATCCTCTCGTGGGCCGTGGACCAGTGCCCTTTCGCGTTGTACGCCGCGGCGATGTCGCCCGCGGTCTCGAGGCGCCACTTGCGCCCGACCCAGGACTCGCCGTCGACGACGCCGGACACGTCGGCCGCGTCCGTGCAGTTCGGCTTGGGCACCTCGTCGCCGCAGGCGTAGGCCATGAGCATCTTGTGCTTCCCGTCGCGTCGGACGCGCTCGAAGGCCGTGTGCGAGTCGAGGTGGAAGACGACCTTGCGCGACTCGTCCGCCGTCGGCCGCCGCGCGTAGGCCGCGGCGAGCTTGGCCGCCATGGACGCGAGCGTCGCGTTGAAGTAGGCGAGCCCCGGCCGCGCCGCGGCCATGTTCGTGTTGCGGAACTTGCGGTTGCGGCTGCCGGGCTCGCGGCGCGGGTTCTCCTCGAGGACGACGTCGTAGCGCTCGAGGTACGCGACCAGACTCCGCAGCGCGTCGGCGCCGGGCCGCATCTTCGCGTCGTGGTAGACGCCGCCGCGCGCGAGGAGCACCGCGTAGCGGAACACATTCGAGAGGATCGTCGCGTACCTGCGTGGGTGCACCTACGTAGCCCGTCAAAAGCGGTGCCTACGTAGGCTCCGGAGTCTCGAGCCGAGGCTACGTAGCCTCGCAGGCGCCTACGTAGGCACCTACGCGCCGACGCTGTCGCGTACGTCAAATTGACGCGGTCCCAGAAGAAGAGCAGCGACGCGTCGACGGACGCGACGAGCGCCCGCGCGGAGGCGTAGCCGTAGACCGTGATGTCGACGTCGACGCGCGCGCGGCGCGCGGCGTCCGCGTAGTCGCGGACCATGGCGGCGAGGGCCGGCGGGGCCACGTTTGCGACGTAGTCGCTCCGGTTCACGAAGAAGTAGCTCACGGGCATCGGCGCCGCGTCGCAAGCGGCGCCCAGGGCGAGGAACATCGTGAGGCGGCACATGAGAGCGGTTTTCATGAACTTTTCATGAATGCAGGCGTCGGGCGGAGTGCGCCCACCCAAGCGAGTGGAGCCCTCTGGCAAAACTCTCGATCGCTGAGGGGCCCAACGGACGCCCTGCGACCGCGACCCGGCGCGACCCGGCGGGACGCGGGGTTTCTGCGACCTGCGACCTGCGGCGACCTGCGGGACGCGGCCGGGACGCGGCCGGGACGCCGCGGGGAGGACTGAGCGGGCTGAGGAAGGACTTTAGGCAGGACGGCCGGGCCGGCGTCCGTTGGGCCCCTTCGCTGAAAAGTATGCTGAAATGCACTTGACATCGGACCAATCCGATCGACGGTCCAGAATCCTCCCTCTGGATCCTGCATTTCGCAGGTCTCCATGAAGACTGGAAGCATCCCTGGAGGTAGCCCCCTGGATACGCCCCCTCTTATCACCCCCAGGCGTGGCGCGTCCTGTCGCGCGCGCGGATGCCGAGTTTGGCGACGTACTCCTCGGGGTCGTAGGAGACGCACTTCGTCGTGTTCTCGAGCGGCGTGCCGCGCGTGGTGAAGCACGCGTTCGCGACAGTAATGTTGCCGCCGTCGAAGGCGAAGACCCGCGTGTCCCGGCGGCCCGCGAGGGAGAGGTGGTGCGTTAGGGAGTGGTGGTAGAGCGCGTCGATCAGATTCGGGTCCGCGTGGTCGCACGACGCGCCGCGCTTCCGGAAGGTCCAGTCCGGGCAGCGCGCGTCGACGCGCGCGCAGTCGAGGGCGACGCCGGGGAGCCGCGCGGCCAGGTCGGCGCCCGAGCCGTGGAGGGCCTCCTTGTAGGTGAGCTCGCTCCAGACCTCGCCGCGGTAGTCGACGCAGCCCGCGTCGCCCGCGAGCTCGAGGATCGTGTGGAAGAGGCTGAACTGGTCCTTGAAGGTGCAGCGGTTCGCGAACCAGCGCGCGAAGAACGCGCGGCCCGCGAAAGAGTCGCGCGCGTAGAAGCGCGAGCTCCGGACCTGCCAGCGGAACGCGGCGACCTCGGACGGCCCCGTGCCCCCGTAGCCGAAGGTGACGTCCGACTCGCCCCGCGCGTGCTCGTCGAGGACGTCGCCGTCGACGGCCCAGGGGTGCGCGACGGACGTGTCGAGGTCCGCGTAGTACGCGCCGCGGATCGACGGCTCGCCGAGCGTCGCGAGCGTCGCGACGATCTTGATGTGGTGGTTCGAGACCCGGTCGTCGTCGAGCGCGCCGTACTGCTTGCCGTGCTTGTCCCGCAGCATCGCGCCGTCGTAGAAGGAGTGGCCGAGGCGCCGCCGGCCGCGCTCGGAGGACGCGCGCGCCCGGCG